CAAACCTCAGCATTACACAATATATCCATATAAAAATCAGCATATATATCCCCAAATCAAAATTGTTTTAAATGCCATGGTGGGGAGCAAATTAAGAACATAAGTTTTTAACTCATTTGGGGAAATACTTCGGAACGTAATTGTTGAATTACATGGTTAGATTATGTTTTGCTTTGTAAGAAACTACTAAACTGTCTTCCAAGGTGGCTATACCATTTTGCAAGCACACTAGTGAAGAATGAGAGTTCCTGTTGCTCCACATTCTTGTCAGCACTTGGTATGGTCAGATGTTTAGATTTTAGCAATTTTAGTATGTGTGTCATAATATGCCACTTGTTTTAATTTGCAATTCTCTAATGGCATGTGATGTTGAGTATTGTTTTCTATGCTTATTTGCCATCTGTCTATATTCTTTGATGAGGTGTTCTGTTCAGATTTTTGGGGGAGCCCATTTTTAAATTGAGTTGTTTGCTTCTTTATGGTCAAGCTTAAGAGTTCTTTGAGCTGGGCATGCTGGCTCATTCCTGTAATCCCAACACTTTGGGAGGCTGAGACATGTGGACCACTTGAGCCCAGAAATTTGACACCAGCCTGGGCAACATAATGAGACTCCACAAAACTACAAAAACTACAAAGAAATTAGTTGTACTCCCGGTTACTTGGGAGATCACTTGAGCCCAAGAGGCAGAGGTTACACTGAACCAAGATTGCACCACTACACTCCAAGCTGGGCAACAGATGAGACCCTGTCTCAAATAAAGGGGGGTGGGTTATTTGTATATATTTTGGTTGCAAGTTCTTTATCAGATATATGTTCCATAAACATTGTCACCCACTCTGAAGCTTGTCTTTTCATTCTCTTAACAGTATTTTTCACAAACCAGACATTTTAAATTTTAACAAAGTCCAATTTATTCATTTTTTTTCTTTCATGGATAGTGCTTTTGGTGTTGCACCAAGTCATCTCTCATTTAGATTTTCTCTGTTATCTTCTAGAAGTTATAAAAATATAAAGTTTCTATGGTTTACCTTTAGGTCTATGATCCATTTTGAGTTAATTTTTTGTGAAAGGTCTAAAGTTTGTATCTAGATTTATTCATGTATTTTACATGAGGCATCTAGTTGTTCCAGCTGTCTTTTTCTGGTTTTGATATTAAGAAAATGCTACCTCATAGAATGAATTCAGAAGAATTCCCTCTATTTCTGTTTTCTGGAAGAGAATGTAAATAATTGCTATTATTTCTCACTTAATTCTTTGGTAGAACTTACCAGTAAAACCATCTGGGCCTGATGCTGTCGTGTTGGAAGCTTATTGGTTGTTTATTTAATTCCTTTAATAAATAAGACCTAATCATAATACCTATATTTCCCTGAATGAGTTTTGTTAGATTATGCCTTTCAAAAAAAATTGTCCATTTCATCTAGGTTATCAAATTTGTGGGCATAGAATTGTTTATAATATTCCTTTACTATTCCTTTTATGACCATGGTATCAGTAGTGATGGCTGCTCTTTTATTTCTTATATTAATATTTTGTACTTTTTCTTTTTGTCTTGGTTAGCCTGGCTACAGTTTTATCAATTTAATTGATCTTCTCACAGAAACAGCTTTTGGTTTTGTTGATTTTCTGCTTTCAATTTCATTATTTTATGGTCTAATTTTATTTCTTTTCTTCTGCTTGCTTTAGGTTTATATTCTTCTTTCTCTAGTTTCCTACGATGAGAGCTTAGATTATTGAATTTTGATCTTCTTCTTTTTTACCATGTGTATTGAATGCTGTAAATTTTCATATAAACGTTGTGTTTACTACATTCCTCAGATTTTATTAAGTTGAATTATTATTTTATTTAGTTTGAAATACATTTTAATTTCTCTTGTGACTCTTCATTTGACCTATGTGTTATTTAGAATTGCATTGTTTGGTCTTCAAATACTTAGAATTTTTCAGTTATATTTCTATTGTTGACTTCTAGTTTAATTCTATTATGATGTAAGAATATATGTTGTGTGATTTATATTTGTTGAAATTTCTTAAGGTGTTTTATGACTCAGAATATGATTTATCATCACCATAGTCATGGTAAGTGTTCCATGTGAGACTGAAAATAATGTACATTCAGCTGTTGTTGAATGATGTGCTCTTTAAATGTCAATTTGATCCTGTTTATTGATAGATGTCTTCAGTTGAACTATATCCTTGCTGAATTTCTGCCTGCTTAATCTGTCAGTTACAATAGAGAGATTGTAACTGACAGAAAGTCTTCAAATATAATCATAGGTTTGTCTATTTTTTCTATTAGTTTCAGTCCCGTATAACGCGACACTTTGCTGTTGGCACATACACATTAAAGGTGTTATATCATCTTGGATAATTGATTCCTTTACCACTATGTAATTATGCTCTTTATTCTGGATAAATATCTATCCCAGCTTTCTTTTGTTTAGTGTTTGCATGACATATTTTTCTCCATCCTTTTAATATATCTGTGTCATCACAAAGTGGATTTCATGTATGCAACATATAATTGAGAGATTTTTTTAACCCACTCCATCTGTCTCTATTTCTTAGCTGGCATATTTAGACCATTCACATTTAAAGAGATTGATATAGGTGAGTTAATATCTACTCTATTTGTTACTGTTTTGTATTTCTGGAATTTGTTCTTTTTTTCAGTCATGCCCTTTTTTTCTGCACTATAATATTTTACATGCTCACTTTTCAACAAAAATGGTTATGAGACATGCAAATAAACAGGAAAGTACAGCCTATGCATAGGAAAAAATAGTTAACAGAAACTTTTTCCAAGGAAGCTCAGATATTGTACTTTATTGCTAATATAGTACTGATATAGCACTTTACTGCTAAAAGACTTTAAATCTGCTATTATAAATACATCAAAAACCTATAGAATACAATTCCTCAAGAAATAATGTATGACAACGTTGCCTTACCAGATGAGGAATATCAATAAACAGAGAGAAATTGTAGAAATGAACCAAATAGGAATTCTGGAGTTGAGAAGCATAGTAACCAAAAGAAAAAATTCACAGAAAAGACTCAACAGCAGACCTGAATGGCATAAGAAAGACTCAGAAAAGTTGAAGATACTCAAAGGAGATTATTCAAACTGAGGAAGACAAAGAATAAGGATAAAGAAAATAAAGAAAGCCTCAGAAACCTGTGTAACACCATCAAACATACCAGCATACATGTAATGGAGTTCCTTAGAAAGGAGAGGAAGAAAAAAGGGAGGCAAAAATAATATTTAGAGAAATAAAGCTGAAAATTATGTTATTATTAAATTTTATTATTTTATTATTAAATTTTAGAAAAATTCATGTAAAAAATTTATCTAGACAACTAAGAAACTACAAATTCCAAACGGGACAAATTTAAATAAATTTACATTATAGTCAAACTGCATCATAGTCAAACTGTTAAAAGACAAAGACAAAAATAGAACCTTGAAAGCAGCAAGAGAAAAATGATACATTATATACAAATGATTCTCAATGAGATTAACAGTTGATTTATCATCCAAAACTATAAATGTCAGAAGACAGTGGGAGGACATATGTAAAAGTGCTGAAAGAGGACAACTGCCAACCAAAAATTCTGTATGCAGCAAGGCTGTTCTTCAAAATGTAGAAGAAATGAAGATATTTCCAGACAAACAAATGAAAATTTATCACTAGCAACCCTGCTGTACAAGAAATACTAAAGGAAGCCCTTCAGGCTGAAATGAAGGACATTAGACGGTAACTCAAATTCACATGAAGAAATAAAAAGGGCTGATACAGGTAACCACATAAGCAAACATAAGAGACAGTATACATATAACCCTTTTCTTCTGCAATCTGATTTAAAAGATAATTGCATATAGCAATAATTTTTAAAATGTATTGATGAGTTTGTCATGTATAAGGTAATTTGAATGCTAATCACAGCACAAAGGAGGTGGGGGAGGAAAGAGTATTGTTTTTGTATGCTACTGAAATTAAGATATTTTAAATTAGGATGCTAGTTGTAATATCCAGGGCACCACTGAAAAAATAACTCCAAAATATATGTTTTTAAAAAAACAACCAAGAAGTAAAATGTAAAATAGTGAGTAAAATAGTGAAAAGTCAATCAAGAAGTTTCTAGAAGTAAAGTATATTTTTAATGATTAAAGCATCAATCAGGAAAACATAATTAGAGACAAGGAAATAATTTAATAAGGAATAGGTAAATTCATATAGACAGAAAGGTTGCCAGAGGCTGGCAGGAGAAAATGGGCATAAATCTTCTTTTGAGTTAATTATAAAATGTCTAAAATTCAAATACACTTTTAATCTACTATATCTGTGAATACACTTAAAACTACTAAACGGTACATCTTAAAAGAGTAGATTTTGCACCATATGAGTTATATCACAAGAAAGTTGTTTTTTTCTTTTAAAGCTGACTTCCGGGATGTTGCTATAGTCCTGTTATTAACTTTAAGGTAAATAAGAGAGTCTGGGATAGCATATGTATAAAGTCAGCTTCATTGTTCTCAATGATTCTGGTCTTAGACACTTTGAATAAAACTGACTCCATTCATCTTTGGTAAATAATAGCTAACGGCCTAAATAATAGCTAATGGTTGCCACATGTTTTAGTTGTTGACTAGGAGTAAGAGAGCAAGACATGGAAAACTTACACCTTCTGTAGAGAAAAACATACCGAACCAGTGATTGAAAGACCAACTGTTTGCCTGGTATTACCTTACAATCTCCCTAAGTCACATCTCACTGAGAAGCTGATTTTCTTCCCAGTCATTTACTGGGGAAAAAGGAGGCTGAGGGTCTGCTGGGATTCTAAGAGGCCTCCAGAGCTCACCATTTTTCGTGGGCGTTGCTTGTGATTGAGATTTTATCAACAGCATATTTTCAACTATGTGACAAATAGCCGGATGCCAAGTACTGCTCTATAAAAGGCACACCTACAAGAAGTAACATACTTGAAACTTACTTACCTTCATGAAAATGAATTTCTAGATTTCTAGAATATGTGGAAGTACAGAAATCCTGGACACGAATATACACATCTACATAATATGTCATGTGCATTGGAGGCTTCCTTATTTCCCTTGCTAACTGTCTCCACTGGTTTTAATACCAAAGTTGTTTAGCTATCATGTCATAAACCTGGCAGAGAAGTGAATTTATATTTGGAAAAAGGTCATGTGATGATGCTGTGTTATGAAAATATCTTCTGTTGCAAGAGTCGACTATGTACTATATCCTATTTTGCAGTTGTAATGGTAGAGGGAGCAGTATTTTGATGTCTCTCGGTTGTCTGTAAAAATCAACAATCCAAGTGGCTTCAAGGTTTCTATTAATTTTTTATGAGCACTAGTCATCCACTAAGATTTCAACTAATAGTGGAACCATCTGATACATTGGAAATAATAGTTCTGTACTCACTAATAATTTGATAATAGAACTTTTTACATTGCTGCATGTTTACAATCAAAGCAATGGTAAATCAAACTTTGTATACAAACTACTGTGTTTTAGGAAGTAGAATCCCTCATGAGGTAGACTTATCATCATTTAGTCTGCAATTCAGCAGAAGGTTATTGCAAAAAGCAACATTCTAGATCTAAAATGTGAATCTCTGGCTTCCATCACGCTCTGCCCAAATGCAGCCTCCCACGAGCTCATACAATCCCCTCTATCTAAACCCTTCCCCTTTCCTAAATCTCTACTATGCTTTTGTTTCATCACAGCATTATTCCCAAAACAATATTACTACCATTTTGCTTAATTTTGTATTCCTTTCCATCTCCACTATGAAACTTTATATGCAGACATTTTCTTGTTCACTAACACTGAGGAGACTGGCACCTGCACACAGTGAGCACACAGAACATTATTTGCTGCGTGAATAAATAAAAGTTCACTTGAGGCTGTGAACACAAAAAGTAGTAACCTTTCGTAACTCCCTAGCAATGAGGAAATGTGAAAATAAGTGAATCATAGTTCTTCACCAGGTTGGAATTTGGTCTGGCTTCCAGCCTCAGGCAAAATTTTGTCTTCTCTCAGGGCTTGCTTGTGAACATCCCTGACTCTAGTCTAGAGGGTTCTGCTTGTCAGGTTCAGGTTTTCTGAAACCCAAACATGTGACATGGATTGCAGAAAGTCTCAGATTCTAATAAAAGATTTAATGCAAGTTGATTTGTTTAAGCTCAGAGAGGAACAGAAACAGACAGAGGTGCAATTCGCAGCAGTTCATATTTGGTAAAGAGAGTGACGGATTCTATCTAAATGCTTGTGTTATTTTAAACCTCTCTCAAAACTGCACACTATTTTAAAACCTAGTGGTAAGTGACGCTTGCCTGGTACAATCCCATCTGCTTCTTTCTGCCTTTCAGAGCAGCTGTGTGTTGCTACAGGAAATTACAAACTGAGTTGAATGGTTTCACTTTAAATTCATGACCACAAAACTGAAATGGGCCCTCATTGCTGCCCAGGAATCCTACTGTTTCTTTAGTAAGATGATGTTCCCATTTCCCCAGGCAACAGTTTCCAACTTTTTTTCTTTTCTAATTTCTTACCCAGAGTTGTCTCATTGAGACTCTAAAAGCCATGAAATTAAGCACCTTTCTGCCTTTCACCACCATTCTAAACACCTAGCCCTGCCTTCCCCAACCCTTTCTCATTCAGTTATAGGAGAAGAGATATTTTTCATTGTTACAGGCTGTTAAGTTCCAGCCCACAACCCCCAACACCCCCAACTACCAAATTCATATGTTGAAATTCTAACCGCTTAGTATCTCAGAATGGGGCTGTATTTGGAGACAGGGTGTTTAAAGAGGTAAAGTTAAAATGAGGTCATGAGGGTAGGCTCTACTCCAATAGGCTTGGTGCCTTACAAGGAGGAAATTTGAGCACAGACGCACACAAAGGGGAGGTGATGTGAAGACCTGGGAGAAGACACCACCTGCAAGCCGAGGGATGAAGTCTGCATAGATGCTTCCCTCGCAGCCCTCAGAAAGAACCAACCCCACCAACACCTTGATCTTGGACCTTCAGCCTCTAGAACTGTGACACAGTTCATGCTTGCTGTCCATGTTACCCAGTTTGGGTACCTGATTACGACAGCCCCAGCAAACTGACACACCCCTAGTATCAAGGGACAATCTCATTATCTGCAGTTTGGTGCATCTCTGTACCTGTCTCCCCTAGGCAGCGCCTTCTTCTGTCTACTGTCTCTTGAATCACCAATCTCTTCCTGTTTTCCAGATTACTCCTCGCCATTGTAGAAACCATCTCTTGATCCAGCCACCACTGAAATGTTTTCTGTCTACACGTGTGCTGACTTGGCCTCCTCGGTTCACCTTTCCCCTGAGGAAATCCAGTCTAGCTCCAGCCTTGATCACACCACCCAGCCTTGCCAAGCCCATTGGCTTCCCTGCCTCTCTGTGCAGTGGGAACGTCTCTCCCTCGTCTTGGGCAATCTCTCAGTAGCATCCAACACAGCTGCCCCATCCCACTCCAGAGGCACTCTCTCCCTTAGCTCCTGGGCACCACCTTCTGTTATTCTCCTCCTACCTGGTTGATCTTCCTTAATCTTCTTTGCCAGCTTTCTTCAGGAATAGACCCTTGATGCTGTTTTCTCTCTACACATTCCTCATAGGTGGTTTCATCTTATATTATGTCTTAAATATCAACTATATCAGATGCCTGTTAAATTTATCATTTTAGCCCAGAACACTCCTCTGAAGTCCAGACTCATATGTTTGACTGCTTCCTTGCCTCTTCTATTTAAATATCTCCGTAAACATCCAAACTGGAATGATTCATTTTTTACCCCTAAGCATACCCCTCTTCCCCAATCTTTCCCACCGTCCTTCTAATATCTCAGATCAAAGCCTCGTGATCTATCTTGATCCCTATCTGTTATTACCCACTATATCCAATCAATCAGTAAATTCTGTCGATTTTGCCCCTAAAACATTTCTGGAATCATCTACCACCCTCTCTCCCACTACCATTCACTGGCGTAGGTCACCGGTTCTTCTCATTACAGGGTTTATAATTATGTCAACAACTTACTAACAGGTCTCTCCCCTACTCAAATCAGTTTGCACACAGAAACCAGAGTAAAATTCTTAGTACCTAAATTGGATCGTGTCATTTCCCTCCTTCAAATCCTCAAGCAGCTTCTCGGTGCACATAAATTAAAACCCTAACTCACAGAACGCAATGCCAATGCCCACCTGGATGGCCTCTTTCCTGCCCCTCTGTCTGTCTCAGGCTCCAGACGGGTTCCTTGGTCCCTTTCAGCAGTCCATGGTCACGCTGCACACTGCCAGCTTCTTTGCTTCCTGCAAGGCTGGGTTTATATGTTGCCTTCTCAGAGAGGACTTTCCTGGCCATCCTCCATGGCAGGTTTCCCTCTGTTTCTCTTTCCCAGTGCCCTGATTTGGTTTTCTCTTCATTGCATGTGTCACCATTTTTAGTCATTTTGTTTATGCCATTATGATTTTTATCATCTCCTCCACCAGACTGTAAGTTACACAAAGGTACGGACCACGTTTATCCAGCTTATCATTTTAACCCTGGTCCCTGTCACAGAGTCTAGTGAGTAACACATCATGAGTCACAAAGGGCACATATTATAGAAAATGCAAGAATAGGGCCGGGCGCGGTGGCTCAAGCCTGTAATCCCAGCACTTTGGGAGGCCGAGGCGGGTGGATCACGAGGTCAAGAGATCGAGACCATCCTGGTCAACATGGTGAAACCCCGTCTCTACTAAAAATACAAAAATTAGCTGGGCGTGGTAGCGCGTGCCTATAATCCCAGCTACTCAGGAGGCTGAGGCAGGAGAATTGCCTGAACCCAGGAGGCAGAGGTTGCAGTGAGCCA